ATATGAGATGTATTAGAGACTGGAATATTGTGTAGATTATATTATATTTTATTTGTAGAGAAAAATGAATATGTGATTTACTAATAATGAAATAAATATATGGAGGGTAGGACTAAATAAATGTGTATTTCCTCCGACTCCATTTTCAAACAGGGAAGAGATCACCTATAATGTAGTGTTATTTGTAATTCCGTTTTGCTCACTTTTTTCCTCTTTTTTGATGGTCTTCATTTTGCTATTTTCTGTATGATATAGCACTTATTTTTATGAATTTTCCATCCACTTTCAACACTGCTTTTCCGGAACAAGGTCATGAGGGGTTGCTGGAGCCTATGCCAGCTGACTTCGCGTGGAAGGCTGACTACACCCCAAACTGGTCCAGTCAATTGCAGGGCACATGTCGAGAAAAAAATGACCATTCACACCCATGTGTACACTGTCAGTGAGTGGGAACCGATCCCACACTGTCCAGCGAGTGTGCCACTACACCATCAGCGATTTTTATGTATGTTTGAATTAAGTTGTTAAAAAAAAAAAAAAAAAAACAAGTAAATTTTTTTCTGTCAGTTTTAAACAACACGCATTTGAGCAACTTCTTACAAAAACAACAACCCTCTTTGATTGCAAAGTGCTAAAGAAACATCACTTGACACATTATCGAAACAAACTTAATAAACCACAAACCATAAACTGACTGTCATGTTCTGCTCTGTCTTTGTTTTTGTTTTCAGCACCAGCTGGAGTGGAGGGTGTGTCTTTTCAGCAGGTCACCTGTTTCTTGTTCCTCATCAAACCTTGCAGAATATTTAAGGACTGTCAAGTTTCCACATCGCTGTTGGATTATTGACCTTGCTTGCTGTTATGCTCAAGGGATATTTTTGAGACCTCACACTCATAGTCGCTACTTTTCCGATGGGTCCTTGTTTTCCAAGTATTTTGGTTTTCCAACTATGCTTGTCTGATTTATGTTTTGTGTGTTTGGGCCTTTGCCATTTCATTCTGTATTTTTGGGTGTCAAATTTACCTTGCTGTTTGCAAGCACTTTATGTTCCTATTTGGTTTTCCTGGCTCTTTTCGGTTTATACTTTGTTTTTCATTCAATTTTTTTTTCTTAGTTTGCCTTCTTATGAACCACAAAAAAAATTGTTAAACTAGCCGGTGACAACAAAAAAATACAACAAATGTATATGAGTTTTATTTTTCAGTTTAGCCAGATATTTTTTGCTCTAAATTTATGTACATTTTACCTTGAGTCATCATCAAGTCTATTTTGACAAAATAACGAGTAGAACATGACCTGCAGATATCAGTTTTAAACTGTATGGGACAATAGTAGAAAGTCAACAACAAAATAAAGTGAGTACTCGAATAAAGTACAAGCACAATCTCCTAACTAAAGAAGTATATTTGCTGTGTTTACTTCCCATCATGTGGGATTCTTTCAATGGTTTATACAAGAATACCATAGCACAGTTCTATCGATCGCCTGAATATGACAAAAGATAATAAACAAGCAAATGAAATGATTTCACTGTTTTATTTTTTAAGACCGGAAAGGCTTCACAGTTTTGAAGAGTTAAATTGGCTTTCTGTTCGCACAAAAACAAACAAAATCAGTATACAGTAACAGACTCACCTCAAGTGTTCCCCAAACTCAGCAGGGCTCAGCTTTGAAATGACATTTTAAATATTAAAACACAATTTGTCTCCAAAAAGTTTCTTTCCACACAAATATTAAAAAATACTGCAATGGTATAAGTTGAGTTTTGAAGTTAATGGGTTCCGTTTTAGACGACACCTTTGTCTTCCCTGTTATATTAATTTAACCTCAGCCTCAAATTAAATTATAATAGACATGAAGGTGGGAAATGGGCGACATTTTCTGAGGCTTTAACTTTTCATTCAAACATCAATACTTCCACCTCGTGGACACATCTTAGCATTACGGTCAAGGGAAGCTACAGGAGACTGCTAAAACACACACACACACACACACACCCACACACACACACACTCACACACACACACTCACACACACACACACACGCACACACACACACACACACACACACACACACACACACACACACATTTGCTTATACTTTAGTGGTGTCAAGCAGTGCCAGAAAGACCTTCGCTGCTGGACGAAACATTACGAGTAGCAGACCAATAGAACCAAAATGCTAATTTCGTCTTCATTTTCTTTCTTTTGTCTCAAATTCATCTTCAAAGGGCGCTGCCATACCCCTTTTAATGGGGCACGTGCCCATGTGGGTATCTATCATCAAAATCCAATTTTCAACATCAAAATGATGTCAAATTGATTTCACGTGCCCAATAATGAGCTGTAAACCTGTGCTCAAGTATCAGTAGCGGCCATTAGACTGGCCAGTACGACTGTAAGAAAAAAATGCTCAGTTAATATGTTGCAGCCGGCAACAGAGTTTTGCTACATTCATTAATTTACAATCTGTGAGCGACTGACGCAACCTTCCCTGTCCTGCCTTCTCTTCTCCATTTCATATGCGTCAAGCAATGCTGGCAGGTGCGCCCCACCTTCGATATACCTTTAGGACCGATTCTGGTCTGTATCAGCGACACAACTCTGAAAAAGTCATTGCAATGACCAGGGGCGTCACTAGGTTTGAAGAACAAGGGGGGCTTAGCCCCAAGGGGAACACAGCCCCTGTAGGGGGGTAGTTTTACCAGCATGGATGCATTGAATACTTAATTTACCTTTCTAAAAAACTGTCGAATATCCATGCTGTCGACTCAACCTGACTTTCGGCAATGAACTGTCAGTTGTTGCGTTAGCATTTGATGTGGCGATGGTGACAGACACGTCAAATGCAAACGCAACACCTGTTGCGTTCAGGAAACCTGGGAGATTTAACATTACAATAATGGCAGGTTATCGAAATATAATTTAAAATGGCCACATTACGTTGAATTTGATGCAATATATTAGCAAAAGTACAGGAAAAATAAATAATACTTTTTTTAAAATAATGCAATGAAATTATTTAGGGGGGCTAAAGACATTTTTAGGGAGGCTGAAGCCTCCCTAAAATAGGCCTAATGACGCCCATGGCAATGACCCGTTTGGCGTCGCAGAGCCCCTTTCTAGCAGGCTTGTTGAAAAGATGTCAAAACAATTCTGTTTGAAGCCAACTTATTAATGAGAGCACTCAAAAATCAATGGAAAAAAAAACCTCAGGGATGAAGTAAAGAACAAAAATGGCGGCAAGTCTATGTTCTATCAGCAAAGTGGTACTGTTAGTTAGTTGCAGCATCTGTTTGAATTTGTTTCCACAGAAGTTAGCCCTGTTCTGGCAATGGTTATTTTCCTTAAGAGAGTAATGCATTTGGGGCCAAATTGAGAAATGGAGTAAGGCTGCATGGCAAATCCCCACTGAAGATTCAGGTACCAAATGCACGGGCCTCCACGTATTTTACAATGACAAAAAACAAAAAAACAAAAACAAAACAAACGAATGTTACTCATTCGATGTCCTGTATTAAAATACAAGTTGGTGGAAAAGTTTGTGTAACACCATTAAGTGTTTATTTCATTGACCATAAATACAGCCACAACGCGGGCATACACATACACGTGTGCGCAGGCCTACAGACAAACCAAAAATTAATTTATTCAAATTCAAAACACAAAACCTGATGACAAGCAAATGTGCTAATAGCATCTTATGGCATCCTTAATGACATTGGATGGCTGATAATATGCGGTAGTGGTTAACTATTGTTTATCAATGCTGTGACTGCCATGGGAGTTCAGAAGTTGACGTTCAGCCACATGTGCTACAACTGACAGGATGGTAATTCACTGTACAGAGATAACTAATGACACGAAACTACAAAAAACAACTCGACACAAGTAAGACCAATTTTACATTATCCATTGACTAAGTCAAGTGGCATGATCTCAACAGAAAACAGCATCACAAAGTGAAAGCAAAAAATAAAGGCATAAGACAAACAAACAGCAAGTGAAGGTGTCTGCAGTAAAAGTCCTGGCAATGCATCTCAGGAAACTCATTCAATATTTGGTGATGCAATGCGCTCCAGACGGTCGGCGGTGCGGGTCTGTTGCCCAACTAGAATAATTACAAACATTAGAATCACGTCAGTGCAATTACTATGACGTTGCTGCATTATAGAACGTTGATTTTGGGTGACTGTCGATCGCTGTGTTGAATTGGACACTAGAGGCCGCCGGTAAGCTGCGTCAAGACATATACTCGTCGTGAACGTGAACAGTGAGTTGATGTGCTGTAACATCGACAGGACAGGCCTATCTATGTTGGCTGTAATTTACATGAAGGTTGTAAAGAGAGCACGGCGAATTGCTCGCGAGACTGACACGTTTGTGTAACGTGATGGGTTCTTCTGAGCCAAGCGGAGAACTTAAACCGCGCAGGTCAGAACGCGTTGTTTTTGTGCGTAAAAAACATTCTGCGCGCACACTTTGCCACCTTACCAAAATTATTCAATCCGTTATGAAGGCACTTGATCGAAGGCGGAGTGTTTTATAAAAGTAATTTATTAATGAACAGAATAGAAATTGCCGACTACACGAAGAAATTCAATGATTCTGGCGTCTTCTTCGTCTTGTCTCGCAAAAATCCAAGATTAGATTGTAGTATCCGGAAGACGTTCTCTTTTTCCGTCTAAAGAAAATGTGTCTTTAAAATGAAGCAACATGTTATGGAATCAACATTCTGAGCGCTGAATAGCTCACAGCTTGTGCAACAAAAGCTGTATGGATATCAATTATGTTGTATTTTTGGTCTATAGTGGTTTATTTGTTTGTCGCGTGCGATCACGTATGAGAATGCGGCGATGAGGAGCAAAGCAGATGAAATGAGCAACATATGCAGGGCGCGCGGATCCCGTCGCCTCAGCCTCGACCTCCTCCCGACTTTCTTCACGTCATCCCGCCCGCCCGTCTGTCTGTCGGATCCTCCCTCAACCCTCCGGAATCATCCCCGAAGAGCCACTCGGAGCTGGGAAAAGAGAGACGGAGGGGGAAAGTGAGAGAGCCAAAAATACACGCAGACACCCCACATCACCTAGACTACCTGCTCCGGCTCAGCAAGGGGAGGAGGACGCACAAGTGCAGGCGCGTCCATGCGTGCCAACCGAGCTAGACAATAAAAAGGACAACAACACAACGAAAACTGGAATGAGAGTTTAGCTTAGACACTCTTTGGGGCGAAGAGCTCATTTTAGCTGCGAGAATCCGCCTCAATGATTACACACTAAGAAGAGTCATGCATCTCAACAGAGAAGAAGATAACAGCAATGGTGAGTAAGATATTTCTATATTTCTCGTCAAGAATTCTATTGTTCCATTTTAGATAGTTTAGAGGTCTTGCGTTGGTTAGCGGATGCCCTTGAGTGTGTCACGTTTATGTCAGGCAGTGATGCTGGGGGTCATTGCAACAAGCTGCCAACTGCCATCTCCTATTGCTCGTCTGCCCCCGCCCCCCAAAACACACTCACGAAACGTGCATCGCAGTCAGATGGGATGTTGCAACACACCCGAGGTGTCAAGTCAGTGAGGCGGCCACTGGAGCACTTGTTGTGCTCAATGTGGCGTCCACCAGAGGTGGCCTAAGCAAAACATCACAAGGTCAACCACTCGGTCATATTAATGAGCTGCCTGCATGTTTGTGTGTCTCCCAAGTGCGTGCGTCTGTGATGATGCTGTTGTGTTTGTTTGTGTGTGTGTGTGTGTGTGTGTGTGTGTGTGTGTGTGTGTGTGTGTGTGTGTGTGTGTGTGTGTGTCGCTGGAAGGAGGTGGGTCTATCATGGAACAATTATGGTGTTGAGTGAGACAAACCTTCCCATCCGGATTTGTTATCACAGAGTAAATAGATTGCTGTGCATCCTCCTGGGATTTAAACTATATGGTTGGGTTAATGTCACTAACACCCGCTGCTCATTGTTGTCTTAAGAAAAAGACCAAGCACCTTTGATTTAAAATGCACATACAGATGGTGCTGAACATAAACACATTCTCAATCAGTATCTTATGGACTTGCAGTCGGGGTAAGGCATATATAGGTCAGAGTGTGTGTCCCCCGAGCACTTAAGGGTTTGGTGTCAAAGAAAAAAATTGGCATATTTCTAGAATAAATTTACACTCAATCCACACATAGCTGCCACTTTTTGTGCTTACTCATTAATTTGGAACAAGGGCACTTGTGAAGTAATAACATCATGACCAACTCAGGAAATATCATTGTCTGACTGACTGTAATTATTGGCCAAACGCCTGTGTGTGTGTGTGTGTGTGTGTGTGTGTGTGTGTGTGTGTGTGTGTGTGTGTGTGTGTGTGTGCTAAATATAAATGAAAAAAAAACTGTAGTCCATTTGTTGCTACATAAGCATAAACACCACTCTTCTCATCTGAGCATTTTGCTAATTATGATATGATTCTGGCAAGAGATTGCTCCTTTTTTAGTACTTATTTGAAGCTGCCAAGGTTTAGGGGAGCTAATATCTTGTTTGATGACAACTTTCCCATGTAGTGAGCCCTGACACACTAATGATAGAAAAACTGATTAATAAAACTCCGTATAGATAAACTCGCAGTTAATTGCACTTGAAATACAAGCAATGCAACTTTCTCAGTAAAAACGTAAATCAAAAGAATGGCTTGATTTCCTGACAAATATTTCACAGCTGCGCTTTAATTGTCAAACAGTTGTGAGAAATGACAGCCATATTTCAATTCTCTCTCTGTATTTTAGGACTAATTCACATGTGATGCATGTAAATAACAAAAACACAAATCCAATCTTGTTCCATAAAGTCAAAATATGTTTTGTATAGTTTTAACCAGCATTCATAATCTCTTTCCATTACTCAGCGAGTCGACATTTTTTCACCTCCCAATCAATTGGAGTTAAAAGTCAATGGGTCATTGACTTTTCATTTAGTTTAATTATTATTTTTTTTTATCAACGTGCCCAGGTGGTTTTAAAGAAGATGCCATTAGGTCTTTCATTTGATCATCATACCTTGGATGCCTGATTATGCATTTCACTTACATTTACCAAAGCTCACCATAATAGCTCCTGACATCACATCATGGTGTTAATGAGGCATTTTTACACAATGACCACGCTATGCATGGTTGGCTTCTGCTTTGCTATGGTTTCAAATATTGCATTATGTATTTCTTAGCAAAAGACACAATACATTGTATTGATTAACAAACATTTAGGATTAATGCGAGGAAAGACCAAACTGTATTTTTTTTTTTTTCTTGGAGTACTTGTCTTTTGACAGTATTTATTTTGTTGTCATCTCTTTGTCATTGCCAGGAGCCAAGAAAACTCCACGCAAAATTATTAAATAATGTAGCACTGAATGGTTGAGTCATATTATCAGAACGCCTCCTCCCCAAATAATACATGAAATAATAAATAATAAAATGCCATATTTTCCACACTACAAGGCACCTCGGAGTATAAGGCGCACCTTCAATGAATGGCCTATTAGAACTCTTTTCATATATAGGGCGCACCGCATTATAAGACGCTATAAGCTACAATAGTGTCTGCGGTTTCGTTATGCATCCACAAAATGAAGTTATGCCAAAGGGAATACAATACAATACAGCTTTATTTATATAGAGCTTTCACAACCGCTGCAGCTCTAACAAAGCGCTTTACAAAACATTTAAAATACTACATCCATAAATCAGAATATTGATCCATGTAGAAGGCGCATCAGATTATAAGTCGCACTATCGGGTTTTGAGAAAATTGAATGCCTTTAGGTGCGCCTTATAGTGCGGAAAATACGATTCATGAATTTTAAAAAAGTGGTTTCAACTAGAATGTAAGAAGAGGATATGAAGTGAGCTCCCACTCTTTATCCATTGTATATTCATACATGGCAATTTTCCGCGGATCCGCGGAAATCCGCCGTTTTATTTCTTAAATTGATCATTTTTGTGAATCGTCTAAATCCGTTGAGAAAATTTTAGGGGCGGTCAGGTACCTTATCGTCGAGTTTTCACGAGCTCTCCCGAACAGTCTCTCCGTTTTCCGTTTGTAAACAGCCCTGCGATTGGACGTGTATGAAAGCTTCAACTAATCAGATCACTGAAGGCATTATTTGTTGCGGAAGTCTTAGCTCGATTATAAACGGCCCAGCGATTGGTTAACTACAAGCGATTGGACCAATCAAATTGCATGTAACATATTGTTTTACCTGATTCATGGCGGCCTGTTCGTCTCGCAAATTCATTGTTCTGGGATCGTTTTGAGCGGAATTATGAAAATTTTGACGAAAGATCAGGAGTCTTTAATCCTAGAAATTGACTCAAATGTCAAGAATAAATT